GGGGGGGGGGAGGGGGGGGGCCAAGGCCGAGGCTCGGAATCCCCCAAACGCCGACGTGGCATGTCCCTGCGGGGAGAGCCCCCGCCCTCCCCGCACACTCGACACGGGGTTACCTTTATCTTCTTGAAGTCCACAGGCTTGCGGATGAGCTCGTAGTACTCGGGCAGCTCCTTGCGGGACGGCAGCTGGATGAACACCTCGCTGAGCTGACGTCCACTACTACTGCAAGGAGGGACACTGTGGCGTCACTCACAGGCCCTGCCTGTCGGGGAGCCCTCGCCCCCTGCCCGGCGCCCCCCACCAGGCCACTCCCCCATTGCTTGAGGACAGAGCCGGTGAGAAATTCAAAGCTGACTCGGGAATTATTTCCTGTACCTGTGCTGTCTTGTGAGTTCTGGAACATTCCTGAGGGATAGCCATGCAGAGAAGCCCTTGACGCATTTGAATCGAGGCTCCGAACTCACCCAACTTCCTCCCATCGCCCCCTACCCCAGCCCTGGAGGAAACAGCATCACGTGCCACATGAGGCAAAAGCCTTGGCACTTGAAAGAGGGAGAAGAACCCTGATTATTTATTTACGATCCAAAAATCAGTTTGCTCATGTTGGGAGCATCAAGTGCCAGCATCTTCAGAGGCCAGTTTCCCAAGCACACTGTGCACCTCTCACAGGCGGCACCTACGAGTGGTGAGCTTCAGAGACTCTGGCCAAAACCCAAGGAAAGATGTCCCCCGGCAAGATGCTAATGGATGACAAAAGCTGTTTTCTAGTCTTTTCCAATGAGAAGGTGCTTGCTTTGCACAAGGGAGCAGAGGAAAGACGTGCCGTGAGACGAGGAACCCGAGCACTGGGCCACCAGACTGTGCCACACTTGCGCCCGGCTATGCTGGGGCCAGGAGCTCCGAGGCAACATCCTCCCAGTGCCTGGACGAGGAGTGCCTTCAGGTTTGCGAACAGAGAGACACCCACCCTCAGCCTCCCTTCGGCCTCCAGCGTGGCGACGCTCTCTCCTGGCAACACCAGTTTTAGACCCGCTAAATTAACGCTGCAGCCCACCAACAGGCTTGTACGTGGTGCCAGGGCCATGGGCTCCGTGCTCAGCCGTGGCATCCACACAGGTGGCCTGGGTGTGCGGGGTGTGCGTGGCCCTTCAGGGAGCTCAGGAAGCGGGACTCCAGCGCCATCATACAGAGGGAAATTCCAGAGCAAAACCCTCACAAACCTCTGGGGGAGTCGCGTCCTTGAGGAATAAAAGGCCCACCTGGCCCGAGAACTGTTGTCTGGTGCCACGTGCTGAGGGCAGAGGGCCTGGAACTGGTCATGTGTGAGGGAGGGGCAGGGCGCCAGGGTCACGGGGGACTTTTAAAACCGCCCTCTCTGACAGTGAAGACCTCTTGAAAAGCCACTGCCATAAGATTTTCGTTGCCAAAGTGCTGAGAAGTCATTTTTAATCCTTAGAAGTCCCCTGGAGAGCCCTCCCCTCCCCCCCCCCCC